AAGGATCGAACGTCAATGCATCTGCGAAAGCAACGCCAGAGCAACGAGATCATGAAGTCGAGCAGCGTGGAAGATCGCCTGCTAATGAATCACGAGCAATGCGAGCAGAACGGCCGAAGGAGAAACGATTCGGACTCGAGCGAGGGCAGATTCTCGAGAAATTCCGAGTCCGAGCGATCCTCGATCCCACGGTCAAGCTCCGTCAGCGTCGAGAGATTCTCCATGCGAGCCACTTGCGGCTCGTCCGATTTCTCCAGGGCCAACTCCACCTCGAACGAACGATTCCATTCGGACTTTTCGATAGCGGCGGTGGCCAGCGCCAGTTCCAACGATCGGGTCTCCGTGCCGACGTCCGAGCCCTTCTCCATACGAAACCTCGACTTTGTCTCGTTCTCTTTGCCGACCAGGACAGACTCGAACGAGAGGTTCTCGGCTCCGACGTCCGACCGGTGTGGCTCGGAGGAACGTTACTCGGACATGTTCTCCACGAGGAATTCCGACTTCTCCACCAGGAATTCCACGGACTTTAGGACCCAGTCCGAGGAGGAAAGATTCTCCGACGATTCGCTGGAGGAGCTACTGCCCCCTCCGCCGCCGATCAGCAAGAGGCATTCCATCGCTTGGGAAGTGCCTCTGGAGGATGATCCGCTTTACGCTCCGGGAAGTACCAAGGTGATCGGTAGGAGACGACGTAAAAGCAGCGACGTGTCCAGTAAGTTCTCCGTTCTCTCCCTCTCGTCAGACTCTAGAATATTTCTAAAATTCGATCTTGATTTCAATCTCGATAGACCAGTTTGCATATGATACAGCAATACGGCTCGACCGATTAGTCGTATTAGTCGTGTATTTATAATACACGAACGAACATCGATCGATCTCCTTCGTACAAGTACAAGTCAATCATATGTCGATGATTTCAAACTTTCACTTTTCAGGTGTTGGATCAGCGTCCAAACTGCGCGACTTCGACGACTGGCAAGATCCCCGGTTATCGACCACCGACGACGATCTAGTCTCTCCGTACTCGGACTCGTCGACCAACGAGCTCGATCAGATACGACCTCAAGAACTGACCAAGAACGGCACCTACGTGATACGTCGCGGTCGAAAGAAGGAACGGAAAAGCCTGCCGAAAGCCCCGACAAAAACCAAAAGTTTGTCTTTCGAGAACTCGAGCGAGGAGAATCGGTTCTCCGACGTGAAGCGATACTCGAGCACCTTCGACAATATCAGAAGTCTTCTCAGAGAGAACAAACTGGACGAGCCGATGGACGATCCACGGACGATGGCATTTCCGCCGCCGCTGCCGCCACCGCCGCCACCGCCGCTGCTGCTGCTGCCGCCGCCGCCGCCGTCGTCGTCGTCGTCGTCGTCGATTCCACCCGACTTGGTCAGGGTTGTCTCTCTTCCGGCGATCAACGACGAGGCAGGCAACTGGCCGCGAGAATTAGAGGTGACGGTCGAAGAGGAGGAAAGCTCCGACCTCTCGGACAAGGACAAGAAAACTCGAGAGATGTTCGAGCTGCTGCAATTCAGTGTCAAGTCAGTGTCGTCTGCCAACGTCGCCAACAAGCCTGAGAAAGGAAGGATCGACGATCGCGACGATCCGCCGAGTCAACTGAAATCGTCGAGATTGAACGCCAAATTCAACACCGAATTGAACAGCGCGTGCAACGGAGTTGGCTCGCTCACCGCTTCCAACAGCTATTCCAAAGGGTTTAACGCTGTCGGTTTAACGCTGTCCAGCGGCAGCGTGTTCAACGAGGAGCCGAGGAAGTCGCCGAATCCGAGCAGCGAGCATCGACTCGCGTCCAAGATCCCTGTCAACTTGCTGATCGAAGATCAGATTGTGAAAAAGGCTTTGAAGGAGAATCGTAGACAATTGGAGAAGGTGAGCGACGCCATCAAGGAGATCGAGAACGTGAAGAACAGCGAGTCTTACTCGGAAAGCAAGACACGATGGATAAGAAGTGGCGACTCGAGGCAACCGTTGGCGAGGAAAAGCAGCCTCGAGAGCGAATCGAACGATCGTAGTAGCGCAAAGGCTGCCGTAGACCGAACTAGCGGAGCGAAGAGACAACAACAACACGACTCGGACTTTGAATCGGACACGCCGTCGAAAACTAGTCCAGAAACAACGGACATGGAAGGACGAAGAACCAACGGGTCGGAGGTCTATGCGTCGGGCAAAAGATTGAGACAAAACGGAGTTGTCGTCGAGGCTCACAAGAACGATCAGAAACAGATTGAAAATGTGATCGATGCTATTCTCGAGGATTCGAAGAATCCAGATTTTCAGGTGAGATTTTCCTCCTGAAAGAGCGTCTTTCGGCACGTTGCGAAAACAAGTGGTGGACGATCGATCGATTAATATATACATATATATATATATATATATATATATATATA